AATATGTACAAGCTTTTTTCAAAGAGGCTGCTATTTGGAAATATGTAATTATGGATGGAAATACAGAGAGAGGTAGAGAGAGAGAGAGAGAGAGAGAGAAGAAAAAAACCAAATAGAGAAGATAGAGGGATCGAGGCAGAAAGAGCAATGAGAGAAAAAACAAGACAGAAAAGCAAAGAGAAAAAGATGAAGGGATGAAGATGATGGGATGGAGGAGGAGGAGGAGAAGAGTGGGATGGAAAAGAAAATGGCCTGTCTCTAATAAAGGGCGACGGGAAATTAAAGATGGGGGTTTGAAGCTCGAATCATTAGAAAAAAGAAGCGGGTTTTTTGGCTCAAAGGCAAAATGTGGCTTTGAACCGCAGCATTGTTCAACAACCCAGTGCGGATTAACTTCAATTTAATGCATTTCAATAAACTTGGCATTGTGTCAGGGAACCTTGTTTTGGCGGGGGTAAAAATGAGAATGAATTGAATAGGTGGCTGCATCCCCCAAAGGGGGAATTCTGCTAACTCCTTGGAGAGCATGAGAGGAGGAGAAAGATGCATGTAAATGCTAGGACTAGGGGGACACGGGGTCGTCTATGTGCAAGTATGCTGGGGATTAGCGAATGTGCTGATAGGAATGAGGATGGAGGATTGAGAGGGTGGATGAAAGAGAAAATGGGAGGATGATAGAGGGAGGGAGAGGGAGGGAGAGAGAAAAGCGAGAAAGGGAGATAAATTAAGAATAAGAGAGATGGAGAAAGAGAGAAAGAGACAAATCAAAAGAGATGAAAGAGTGAGAGAGAGAGAGAGAGAGAGAAAGAAAGAAAGAAAGATAGGAAGAAATAAATAAAGAAGCTGAACTTTTAAACCAGCATCATGAAAGAAGTGAGGAGATGATAAATAGGGCGGGCAAGGGGTCAGGATGGGAAAGGAAAATGACATAGTTTAAGACTACCGGTAGGCCCAGATTTAAAAGTGGGGCATATTAAAAATGATATGACAATAATCTACTACCCCTCTCTCTCTCTCTCTCCTCGCTATCTCTTTCAACCATTTCTGGGACACTATGATCAGCATACAACACAAAAATTTACTTCAAATCACTTCAATAGTAAAGCAATGCAATTAAAACCATGTTCCATTACGATCGCAACATCACAGATCTATAGAAAAGAGGTCAAGTCCCTGTCTCCCAAACAACTTGGAACATATTTGGCCCTTTACACTTCTAGAACATTTTTTAGTTAGACAGGTAAAGAAATATTGTCCAGGTATATGGGAGTGTTCAGAATGAAATAGTACTACATGAAGGGTACAGTCAGGGAGCTCCTGGTGCAGTCAACACTACACCATAAGGTACACCTCCTTGACTTATTACATACCATGCTCAATATATGTGAACTATATACTGCCTAATCCAGGGGCGAGGCTGGCTTGCTGGATGGATGGATGAAGGAAACCCAGAGTTCTAGCTCCTCCACACCTGGTGAGGGTTTAGAATGTCACAAGGAGGGTGTCTGAGACACATTCCTGCAATACCAAGGACCAGGCGCTCCTCCTGTACAGCACCCCCAAGCATCTCATGCCAACTCTATAGGTATGTCCTCATCAGCTCGAGATTGCCAAATAGCCCGCTATTTCTGATTTGGGAAATAATCCTGATGTTACAAATCGTGATTTGGGAAATAATCCTGATGTTACAAATCGTGTCTTCTTCAGCTCAAGACTCAACCTCGAAACTTGAAACTTGAGCTTGAAAAATTAGCTCGAGATAATTTGCTCAGCGTTCACGCATAGTGCGAGTCTTTGGGCTGGTGAAGGCGCACTGGACAAATAGCGGGATATTTTGCAAACTAGCCCAATATATCTTGGGATGAGTATCTCAACCAAATATCCTGCTAATTGCAACTTTGGGCTGATGAAGAGGCAAATTAGCTGGATAATTTGTGAGCAGGATAGTTCAAATAGCAGGATATGAATCTCGAGCTGATGAGGACAGGCCTATGTTCTTCATAACACATATTTGCCTGCATGGAAGGAGTTGCCAAAGAATCCAATGTTCTTTATCTTTCACTATGTTCCCTATTCCCAAAATGAAAACATTTGTACATTTTTGTAACATTGTTGGTAGTCTGTGATCCAGTCATACCAGGGACCAAGCACTCATGTAGTAGATGTACAGCACCCGCCTGCTTATAACATTGTTCCTCACAATGCATCATGTGCATGCAAGGAGTTTTTTTAAAATCTTTATCTTTCGCTATGTTCCCTATTCCTTCCATGAAATATTTTTGGTAACATTGATCAAGTCATAATAGTTACCATTAATGCAAGGAGTCCAATATATTTTTTCCTATGTTCTCTATTGGTACCAAGAAATATGGGCACATTTTTGTGTTCATATTTTAATTTTAGGTAGTTTGTGATTTAGCAATACTGAAGACGAGGCATCTTGTGTCACCCCCATGTTTCATGCACATGCGAGGAGTTCCAATGATCTTTATCTTTCCCCATGTTCCCTGTTCATACCACGACATGTGTGCACAAGTCTGTGATTGGGATGCACTACTCCAATTAAACTGGCCTATTCTATTGCAGGCCGGTTTCTTGAAATCTTCCAAAAGTATTCCCAAGAAATTATATGTGTAAAGCTATAAAGATCTTTGAATGATATATAAAGTTATCTGGGTCCAAAGAGCAGCATGTACTCTTCCTGATGACGATCTCCCATTTATATGAATGCAAATATTAATTATATATTCCTTATCTTTCTCAATGTTCTTTACACCTGCAAAGATATTTTGGCACATTTTTGTAACATGGTTTGTAGTCTGTGATTGGCTGCGTTACCTCTAAGTGACCTACTGCAGGCGGGTCGCCTAAAGAGCTTTCAGAAGTTCTCTTCATCTATTAAACATACAAAGATATATAGGTCTCCAACCAAGAGGGTTGATTAATGAGATGCACTTTGCGTCTAATGATCTTAAAGGTGTAGTGTGAAGGCGAAGGACATGTAAGGCTATGAGTAAGCATTACTACTAATTTGATTTACAATCAAAGTTGCTTCTGTTCAAGTACATGTATAATTAATAAACAAGAAGAGACAGATATGTAATGAGAACAATAATATTTGTATTCCACTAATATCATTGCAGTAATAAAGGGAATATAGAGAAAACTTTGTAAATTAAATGGGAAAAGATGAATTTGATGAATTTGATTTTTTTTCCCTCTCTTTAATACATTAAACAAGTGCAAATGCTCTTGAAACTCCAGAATTATCTTTATTCTGATAACACCATGCCTGCCATAGCATTGGATGGAAACCAGGGTGTGGCATGAATAATGCTTGACCATATGGAGACAGGGGCACTCATTACATGATAATATTGTCAGCTATTTGCAAACGTACATTAACAAGCTGAAATCACAAGTACTTGTTTCATTATCATTTCAAAGTAATTTGTTAATAATTAAAATCATGACACACTCATAAACAACTATTTGACATACAAAGCAGTGACTAATTGTTGACAATTCTCTTTGAATCAATTGTAAGGTTATTTTGTTAATTTAGATGTGGATGCACAACATAAAGGTTATCACAGAGTAGTACGAGAGAGAAGCGAGGTAGATGAAGTAGATGTGAGACTGAAAGAGAGACTTGCTCCCAGACTACTCGGAGCTGTTGCTCTTCCAATTTGGGGGTTGGTCGGCCGGCTAGCTAATCTAGGTAGAGCAAGCAGGTGATGGGAGGTGTTGATGGGGAGAGAAGAGCCGATAACCCAACGGGATATAGATCAGAGATGACAGGGGAAAGATGAGTGGGGGTCTCGCCCGTATCTTAGCCTCTTGTCTACTCCCTTCATGATGCTATCATTCCTTCTCAGCATCTCGCCCGGGCCCTGCTGCTGTTTTGCTCCAGCGAGTTCTTTTGGGGCTGGCTGGCTGGCTGTCTTGCTCTTTACCTATCTGATTATTTTTAGTTTTTGCCTTTTTTTTGTATATGAAGATCACTTTCTGTATGTTCAGCATCTGCTGACTCCCGGTTTGACACTTGGTTTTGTTTTCATCTTATATGATATTAATAATGTTGTATGAGTGAACCATTGCATGATACTGTTGATGTAGAGATGCAAACTCTTCTAAAGTTTATCATCACTCCTCCATCTTGTCTCTCTGCTCTCTCTGCTCTCTCTCTCTCTCTCTATCTCTCCCTCTCTCTTTATCTCTCTCTCTCTATCTCTCTCTCTCTTTCCTTTTCTAATCTGGAAAATTATATTTTTTCTTTTTAAAATGATTTTTGCATATTCACCACTACCTATTAAAGCAATTACTCAAATATTAATCACTTCATTCTTGTTCTTTCTCCCCCCCCCCCTTCTATGTCTCTGTGTATCTATTTATCCGTCTGTTTCTCTGTGTGCCTGTCTCTCTTTCTCCTCAGTATTCTACATCAGCCTTCCTTTGATTCCTCATCTTTTATCCTCCATCTTTCACCACTGAGGATCATCTAACCCCCATCCATCACCACACTGTCATCTGTACAGATCAGTCTCCAATACGTTACCAGGTACCGACCTAAATCTCCATTCTCATTTACACCGCTCACCTGAGATAGAGGCGTAAGCCTAGACCATTAGTTCTAATTCTTGGAGGAGAGTGAAAACAAAGCTGGATGACTTGACCGGTTCCTGATGAGAACATTGTGTAATCCTCAAATCCAATGCATCATCCTAAAATATTATCCTCACGTCATCGTACATATCATCTGTACTCAAATTTACTCTATACATGATACCACAGACCTAACCATGATACTCTCTCCCAGATCATGTCTTAATTCCACCTTGCTTTCTTAGATCTTAGCAAGCAGTTCTCTTTGTTCACAACTTCTTTCATCATTCGATGCTCATTAAGCTGGACCAGAAGCATCTTGGCTATATGAAATTGTATACTTTACCTTTCATCCATAAACATTACATAAATGTCATTGTCAAAACACAGGTACGTACATCATTTTAAAAGGCACATCTTTATCATTCCATTGCAATCATCAAATATATAATACAAGTAACACCAGTAAACATACATATTGGAGGTAAAAGAAAAATATTCATATAAAAAAGGTATCTAATATCTTTCAAATAAATGTCACATCACCCTTCGTTTTATCATGGACCTACTAGGTCCATGGTTTTATGAACTATAATACATTTAGGGCACAACAAGTAAGGGTATAAAAAGAGGTTATATAAGTAAAATCTAGACTACTGCCACCACGTGTAAATTGTATTTCATTTTCTATAGAACTTCATAGAACAAACAAATCAATCGAAATATGAAATAATAAAAGCAAAAGAAATAGAAGAGAAGGGAAACAGAATAAAGATATTGATGAAAGTGAAAGAAGGCGGGATGGGGGGCACAATGTGAGATCCACTTGTATAAGTCACTGGAATATCTCCTTTCACCCTCCTGCTTTTGATATAAGAATGAAGAAAGTGAATTCTTGCTGAAGTAGCCAAACAATTTCCTGCCCACACTTAAAAGTAATACAGCAGAGAGCTTATCCTTAGTTGAGGTAGGGAAGCATAGAACACAATTTCCTGCAAGAGAGAGTTCTGCGAGACAATAGCAAGGATGAGGAGAAGTGAGAAAAAAAGTTTGAAAGTTATCAAAAAGCAAGATCAAAAGCAAAGATTAAATAAGCTAGGTCTATAACATTCTTCAATTTCCTGCAACATATACTTGAGGAGGGAGGTAGCAAGCAATGAATAGAAAATAAAAGGCAGATAAAAACTGTTTACAACATTCTCAAAGCAAGCAACAAAATACTGGTCTTTGAAAAGCCACTCTGATCTAACACAGTTATTATATGTTGAATTTATGGCTTTGCAGTCAACACCATCAGAAAAATAAAAACAGAATTGCTACCTCTAATTGTTTTTTAAAGAAGAATACCACAGACAATTATGGTCTATTAACTGGCTTTGTGGTAATTTAAATTAGAGTGCTCACCTGAGAAGATGATGGGAAGGCTTCTCTTGAATGAAAGACGTCTCGTACATACACCTACAGGTAGATAAAAGATGTGAAAAAAATAAGTTTAAATGTGACTTATTTATTGATTTATTTAGTTATTTCTGATATTTAGACATGGCGACTCATTATCACCAATAACGGTGGTCTTCCATGAGGCCCTGTTAAAAATTAAAAGGAACTTATAATTGATTTACAAAGTGAAATTAAAAAAACATTCGCCTAACAGACATCAGCTTTGTAAAATTTTCACTTTCAAAATCTGATTGTAAATCAATTTTGATGATGATAAAGTTATCATCATGACTGTTTAGTGCCAGAATGGCATTAACTGTGTGTGTACATGAGTTAATGGCCATTCATGCTATTTGTAGATACTGTTCCCTTTCTGTGTACAAAACACAAAAAGCAACCACCATTAATTAACTTTCAGTATTGATATGACTATAAGCACATTTTTTCTTGAGTATATACAATTTCTTCACACAACATAGAATCGGGCCATTACCGGTATAAGCTGGTTATAATAATATTCAGTAAACTAGCCAGGTAGTTTTAGTCGTAATTATGTCACTATACGGTGGATGTTTTTATAGCATTGACACAGGATATAAACAGGAAAGTAAGAAAACTCTTGGAGAGAATCATATCATGATAATGATTTATCCTAAAATGATAATAAATGTTTCCGACTAAGATAAAGAATTAATGTGAATGACTGGGATGGAAAACAATCCCACATAAAACAAACACAATGGCTATCGGATGGCACTGCGCATGAACTCGTAAAGTTAAAAACATATTTCATACAAGCAATAAAACATGATGTTTATCCTCTTTTTATGACAGGAAGCTTTGTAGATAAATCGTTTCGGCTGCGCTAAATTCAAGTGAGCTGTAGATACATAAATATTCCATATTTTTCTCTCATGGTCATGACATATTTTCTTACTATTGGTAGCAACTTTAAAAATTGTCCTCATATTCATATTAGAATTAACTATTCCTGACAGAAAAAAGACGAAAGACTGAATAACAAGATTTCACTGATTACTAAATGATTTGGCAGTATTTAATCAATCGAATAAGATGTAATCATTATTTCTAAGAATACCTAATAATAAATAGGAGAATTTTCACACCCTTTTAATAGTCAGATAACGTTACATGTTTTCATCCATGTCTTCTACCTACACTAATAATTTTCTTACTTTAATTTTCATTTGATTTAGAATATATATATATATAAAAGTGAAAACATCTGTTCAGAGCCATAAAGGCATTACCTCTGTGTTAAAGAGAAGGTTGAGTTCTGGGAAGAGGTGAAAAATAATTTGTGAGCATTACTCATTCTTATTATGCAAGTGTGGAAGAACATCAGTTAAGACATGTTCCCTGAAAAGCATGGCTCTTCAAATGCCTTCATATTCTAAAATGCATGTAACATCGTAAAAATCGGGGGGGCCGGCTTTTAACGCCACGTGTTCGTGTAGTCCCATATACATCTTTCTGTGCAAGTGTTTGTAACTTTACCAAGACTTTGCCAAATTTCTTATCATTTTGATGATTCCAGAACCTTGCAATACACAAAAATTCTTATATGCTAGATGATCAACCTTTTCTAGTCGGTTCCACACCGTTTCTTTCACAATGCAATCGCATGACCAGAACTCAACTTCATCTTTAAATTATGCGGGTTGAAGCCCTTTCGGCTATAGATAATATTAGGTCAAACTTTTTATGCATTAATGTTTAATTCGCAATATGAGTGGAAAATTGATGCAATCATTTATATAATTGTTGAAAATCTTTGAGAGGTACTCAAAAGCAATCGACCAAAGTATTCCCAACATATCTGAATACAATGTTTAGACACCATGTAATCATTACTGGTACTTTAATTAGTATAAGAATGCAAGCATGAACTAGATACTAATCTTACTTGATTCAAAATGTGAGTGGGAAAATGCTGCAATCATTCCTATACTTGTTGAGGTACTGACAGAGGTACTTAAAAACAATCAACAAAGTATTCCTGACATATCATAATTCAAACTTCGCATGAATGCCCTATGTTTAGATGTCCTATAATCATCGCTACATTTAGACTTTAGTATAAGTATGAAAACCTGAATTTGATACTCCTCATGTTTGATTCGGAAAATGATTGGCAAAATGATGCAAATCATTTAATATGTTTTCTCTAATTGACTGGAATCTTACAGAGGTACTTAAAAAGCAATCAACAAAGTATTCCCAACATATCTGAATACAATCTGCACAATGCCCTATGTTTAGAAACCATGTAATCATTGAACTTTAGCTTAGGTATGCAGGCCGAGAATGAGATAATGAGTCCAGGTATGCTGAGAATCGTGTTTGCGTTTGAAACAAAAACATCAGCCTAGCCTCGCACCTGCATGCCAGCTATTTCTGTCCAAGGGTCAGCTAGAATAATGCAGGGAATAAGTACAGGCGGCCTCAACAACAGGGATTATGACACGAGGGTGTTAAGTTGGGCCATAGGAGAGAATATTGATAGGTCAATAGGTAAACGAAGGCCAGGAGAGCTGGCTCTTTTATCTCGCCGCCAGCTTCACACCCCAGTATTCAGTCCTGGGCTATTGTATTGTTTGAAGGGGTGGATGAGATCGTGGGGTTCTTTTATCGTATTAATCTTCCAATAAGGGACTCGTTGGGGTGCTAGACAGGTGTGTAGACCTACATGGCTGGGGTGCGGTATGGACATTCTAGGGGAATACTAGGGGTGAATGGATAGCTAGGGGCGTTGAAGGGAAAGATTTCATGGATGCAAGACAGAATTTATGAGAGCGCCCAAAAATCCTCTACAATGAGCTACTTTGTACCCTAGAAAAGCATGAAATATAGCATGGAAAAACTTGCAAGGCTTTTGCCTGACAACTGACATATCCCTGGGTCCCCTGGACAGAGGAGTCATAGGGGGGGGGGGGAGGGTGTTGAAATTTCAAGGGGATTTATTGGTGAAATTACAACTCAGAACTAAATGCAAAAATAAAACTTCTTTTTTTAAGCACAATAATTTAACTTTAAAAAAATGAGGAGACCCCTTGAGTGAAAGTGAAAGCACAGTTTGGGTGGTTCCCGGGTCAGAATGACAATTGAAGTGTCATGCAAGGAATTTATATTGATTTCTTTTGATCCTCTTGAGTGGAGGTGTGAAAAGGCGTCTAAAATCCTTTGTTTGCCATGCCATCAAAGCAGATTACTGATAAAGAGGAGTGTGAGAGATAGTTTGAAGGTGTAAAAAGGTTATAAGGATGACAAGATTGATCGGTAGGAGGTCACAGAGGGGGTAGGAAGCTGTCTAAAATGATACCAACAGAAACTGCAGTTGGTTTCATGGATATGTGTATGGTATTGACATTTTGATCGGAGAAACTTTAAAAGCAATATACTTATCTTAATACTACTTCTACTACTACTACTACTACTACTTGTTTGAAGTAGCTTATTGCAACTTTTACATTACCATTTACCATTTGTATGTTCTTACCAATTCTTAACTGTCAAATGATGTTTATTAATTCATGCATTCTTAACCATGGGTGCTGGAAGCTTGGCAAGGGTGAGAGGGATGGAAGGATGTAACCCTTTTGCCCCAACCATACACAGACAAGATTACAAATAAAATTGCCATAAAATGTTCATATTTTTATGTGTTTGTTATTAGTGGTACTGTTATAGAGTGCATATATGCAACAGGAATGTGTGCCCTGTTCAATGTGTTTGCATTTCCATAAAAAGTGCAAACATTCATTTAAAAGCAAATAAAAATGTACTACTGGCCACCTGCAATCGCACATTGGCCTGTAAAAAGCTGTTATGACCTATTTTCAACTATACATACCCTATATTATGTTTGCTGACATCTTAAAATTGTCATCAATGATCAATATAAATCATAAACTCTTGGCTTCTCTTCAACTTGTGCACATCTCAGCTGAAATTCATGATAAAATGTTTACTCCTAGATATTTTAAATCAACTGGGCCTCAATAACACAAGGAAAATACAATTATTTTTTTTTGGTATCATTTATTATGCAGGTGGCTTAAAAGTTAGGTTAGATTAACCGTTTCATGACAAATATTCCACATTTTGTGGTTTGGCTCAATACATTTTTATGCCGCCTCTCTCAAACTTTGGTGGAGTTGATCTAGACGGTCCACCCCTGAGATAACCTGGCATGTTCCCACACCTCAAAGATTCCTTCTTGCCCCTTCCTGTATCTATTCATATTTTTTCTAGCCTTGGTAAACACACCACCTACCAAGGTATATCCATGTCTCTCTGAATTAGGGCAAGACATCTTCTTTAGACCCCCTCCCTTTTCCAAACTTCAGTTGAGTTGATCTAGAAGGTCCACCCCTGAGATAACCTGGCATGTTCCCACACCTTAAGATTCCTTCTTTCCCCTCCTTGTATCTCTTCATAGTTTTTCTAGCCTTGGCATACACACCACCTACCAAGGTATATCCATGTCTCTCTGAATTAGGGCAAGACCATTTTTTTTTACCCCCTCCCTCTTCCAAACTTTTGTCGAGTTGATATAGAATGTCCACCCCTTAGACACCCAGCATGTTCCTACACACCTCTAAGATTCTTTCTTTTCCCTTCCTGAATCTATTCATGTTTTCTAGCCTTGGCATACACACCCACCTACCAAGATATATCTGGCGCATCTAGGTCACCATCATGAGGACATTAATGAGAAAAACTTTCTGACCTCGCAGCACAGTTTGATTACTATATTAGCAAAGAACTAGATACAAGTATCAATTACAAAACCTAGATCATTACATGTTTTGAATAGATGTAAACCATCCATGCTCATATTTCAATATTTTATTATCCCCATTTAGGAAATGCAAGCCCTTTCTCTCTCTCTCTCTCTCCGCCTCCCCCCCCCCCCCCCCTCCCCCCAAACGAGATTCATATTATTATTTTACTTTGGTAAAGACCTAGATATATATGGCCGAATTTAAAGAACC